CACTCAAACCACTCAAGACAACATGGTGGAGTGCGATTGGGTGACACCAAAAGCTTTTGAGTATGTCAAGAACTTCCAAGGACCTATCGTTATTCCAATCATATTTGAAATAACGGACAAAGAGGTAGTAGTCACCCCAAACTTTCCATTAGAGACTTCAGAAAAGTACTTACAACTGTTCAGATATGAATTGAAAGATATCAAAGAAGTGTTAATGAAACGGTACGTCACGGTGTTCAATGGCCTTGAGATATACTTCCCCAATCACTCCGAATACTTTGTCTTCCAGAACGAACTTGTTGCAAAGAGAGTGTATTTCCGCCTCTTATTATCCACCAATTTACTCGATGAAACCCTTGAAGAAAAGGTTAACAAAGCATCAGAGAAGTGGGCAAATGGTAAAATGAGCAACTTCGAGTATTTGATGCGACTGAATGAGTTGGCAAGTCGCTCGTATAATGATATGAGTCACTACCCCATCTTTCCATGGGTGATTCAAGACTATACAAGCACACATTTGGACTTGAATAACCCATCAATATATCGTCCTTTGGACTTACCGATCCCTTGTGTAAACTTCAAACGCCATCGAGATGAGATGAAACGATTTGATGAGTTGTTTGGTGAGTGTGGTGCGATCAAAGACCAAGAGAAGTACATGTACTCGACATTTTACTCGGCGTGTGATTATGTCTTCCACTTCCTTGTTCGCGTTGAGCCGTTCACTTCGATGTTCATTAAAATGAACGAAAATCACTACGACCGCCCAGAGAGAATGTTTTACTCTGTCGGACACACATGGGACATCTGTATGAGTTCCACCCAATGTAACATCGAGCTTATTCCAGAGTTCTTCTATTTACCCGACTTCTTAAAGAACGAAAATTTATTCAATTTTGGTGTGAATCCAGTCACTAATAGTCAAGTCGGCGATGTCTCTCTGCCCCCTTGGGCTAAGAGCCCAGAGGAGTTCATTCAACTGAATCATCAAGCGTTGGAGTCGCCACTCATTTCCGCGACTTTAAATCGGTGGATCGACTTGATATTTGGGTATAAGAGTTGTGGCGAAGAAGCACTCAAAGCGGATAACCTGTACCACCCGTCATGTTATGTCACCGAACAAGTGCGGACTGCGGAAGAAAATGATGTCTTGATGAAACGAGCACTCTTCAGTGGACAAGTCCCCGTCCAGTTATTTAAAAAAAGCCACATTGAGAGGAAATACCAGATGCCATTAATAGTCGATGTGTGTAAAGAGAGTTGTCTGAGCGAAGAATTTAAAAGCGGAGAAGAAATTGTTTCTGTCTGTTTGGAAGAGAAGGGGATGATGGTGTTCACTGAGAAAAATACAATGAGAGTACCAGGGCTGCTTAGTCTCACCCATAAAAAGAATAACATTGGGAGTAAAAAAGGTGAGAAGAAGTGGTATTCGTATGATAAGAAGTATAGCATTAGCCTAATATGTGGTGTTGTTCGAGTTTTTAGTGATACTAAAAATTACACATTGAAGTGCAGTGAGGTGAGTGAATGTGAGGTAATCATGTATGAGGAACACAACTACTTGATATTTGGGTGTGTCGACTCGTTACTTGGTGTTGTCGAACTTGGCTTTGAAACGCCAGTATACCTCAATGCACATGTTGAGAAAATCAGTTGCATTTGCTTTGAGGAGAGTAGTGGTGTTTTGGTGATTGGCGATGTTGGTGGAGTTGTTTCGTGTTACAGGTGTGGTACTTGGCGTTATTTGTGGCACATCGCACTTGGAGACAAATGGAAGAATACGATAGTGTCGGTGGTAGTAGTCGACCAGTACATTTATGTGATGACGGAAGGCGGGATGTTTAGTTTGTCTATGAAAGGAAAAGTCGTCAGCTTTTTGGATTTTGTCGGGCGCAAGTTAGTGAAGTCGTTTGTGCCATTTACTGTTTGTGTAGTTGCAAAGAACAACGAGTTATGTTTTGTGTCCACAGTACAGTTTGTTTTTTATTGTGTTTTATTGATGATGAAATAAAACTTTATGTGTTAACACATAGACTTAGTTGTTTACCAATTGAAGTTGATATGCCAGACCTCTCAGAAGAGATTGTGGTTAACGTTTTCTTCAAATTTAATTCTGTTTATATGATTACAGAGTCTGGTAGAATTGTCAGAATATATATGAAAATGTTTGAGAATAAATAAGACTGTTTATTATGTTAAGGTTGTTGTTCCTTTTTATCGGAATCTAATTGTGTTTTGTCATAAAATTTCAAACACTTCGACATTCTAGATTCCGATATCTTAATTAATAATTTATTAATCAAAAGCTATTTCTTACTAATTAAAATGCTACAAAACAAATACGTCTTTTAGTTACCAAATTGAACCAAATGGTTCTAAAAACTATTCAAAAGAATTGATTATGTAACCAACGCCAGTGATAAGTCTGTACTGGCAAACCTAAAACCAAAAGAGAGAAAATTGAGAGTAGACTTTGAAAAGAGAAAACACAGAATGATGCAGGGCATAACACAAACAGTTGTGTATCAATTCCCGACGTTCAATTATTCAGTCCCAATACAACCATCTCCAACAACAAAAATTCGTGATGTGCTTGTCTCCATAGCAACACATTTCAAAATCGACCAAAACAACTTGGAGGCGGTTTATAATGACATTGTGATACCTTATACACTCTTTTCTGAACTTCCCTACCCAGTCACAAACCCGATCACCATCCGCTTTGTCAAAGAGGTTTTTCCAGTGTCTGTGGAGGTTGAAGGAAAAACGGAGTTGGTGAATGTCACGCCGCTTGACTCGGTGCAGAACGTTATAGACATGCTCTTCCCGAAATTTGGGAAGGTGCGGATCTGGTTGATGAAAAACAAGACGAAGGTACCCATCACTAAGCACACCCTTATATTAACTCTTAACATACTGGATTTCTCATTCAAAACAGCGTATTTCTTTGCCGCAGTTAAAAAGCGAATCACCGTCAAATTGTATAACCACAGCTACCCATATTCAGTCGACAGTGCAATGCTTGTGTGGGACTTGAAGAAGCAAATTTGTGAAGATTTCAGTCGAGATCCTGCTGCAGTCGTTCTGCAAACCGATGGCAAGATCATATCAGCAGCTCAAAAGTTGTTTGACGTCTTGGGAAGTGACGGTTCCGTGTCAATCAAGGTGGCAAGAATGAAAGGCGCAAAAATCTTTGTTGAGGGGTTAGGGAAGTCGTACGAGATCTGCGTGGAACTCGAGAAGACCGTCGAGGCTGTCGTGAAGATACTTCACTTCATCGACGCAACACCTTTGGAGGGGATTGTTGTGGTGTATAAAGGAAGGCCGCTTGCTTTCAGTGAGTGTCTTACGACCGTTGGCGTGAAAGAAGGTGATGTCATGACTTTGACTCACTAAATAGTGTGTATTATTCGATTTGATTATTTGAGCATTGTTTTAAGTTAATAGTTTTTCATTTAATTGTAAGATAAATCGTTTTCAAGTTTCCAAATGTTGTTCGTTATGTGCAATTAAACAAACTTGTTTTTTTTTATTAAAAAAGCCTTTGACAAGTCAGATATCATAAGTGTTAAAACAACACTTCTTTGTAGTATCATTTTATATAATCCTTAGTAGTCTAACTAATGCATTTCAATGTACAAAACCTTTTCTTGTTATTTTAATGTGTTAAAACGTATTTACTTAAAACCACTTATTGAAGTTATATAATACACATTAAAAGCAATTGTCCAGTAATTCATACAAGATCCACACATTGTTATTCAGTTTTATTTCCAAATAACTGTTATTAAAAAAACATTTAAAAATAACAAGAAGAACACAGAAACATCAAAATAATTGGAACTGAATAAGTAAAGAGTGATGACAAAAGTAAACGACTTTGTGTATAAAGTGATTCCCGCTGGTATTTTTGATGCTAACTGTACTATAGTTGGTCACCCGAAGACGGGGAATTACGTTCTTTGCGATGTCAGTGGTTCCAGTGAGCAAATTGTAGCTGAGGCCAAAGGGTTAGGGTTAACCAAGTGTGTTGGTGTTTTTTTCACACACGGACATTTTGACCACATTGGTGATGCAACGAAAATTAAACAATTAACTGGAGCGCCACTATACATGAACCAAGCAGACCAAAAATTATATGGAGATGTCAAACGACAGTGCAAAGCGTTTGGTGTTCCAGTAGTGAGTGAGTTAGTCCCTATTGATGTCTTTGTGAAAGAAGATGATATAATAGCAATTGATGATATGAAAGGTCGCGTCATACACACACCTGGGCATTCTCCAGGATCAGCATGTTTGTATTTTGAAGAGTTGGATCTGTTGATTAATGGTGATACATTGTTCCGAGGGAGTATGGGGAGAACAGATTTGTGGGGTGGGTCTTATGAACAAATTGAAGATTCAATTAAAAACAAATTGTTTAAACTCCCTGAGAGAACAGTGGTGATCACTGGACATGGCGCTGACACCACTATTGGCTATGAAAAAAGAAACAATATGATTAACTATTAATTTAATTTCTATTTCGTTGGTCTTTTCTGATGTTAAGAACACACAAATGACAGTGAATGAATAACATTAAATTACAGGGATACCACTTTAAAACAATTTGAAGGCATTGTAGATCTCTATAAGTTGACTGACTAATTGTTGAGAAGTTATCCGTTCCTTAGGTGACTGTGCCCAACAATTTTCAATGGCGGAATACATCTCATCAGAAACATTATTCGGCTTCTGGAGGCGTTGCCCTCCGACTACAAAGTCCGCCACTTGCCATGGATATACAAATTTGTGATCTGCATATGCCTTTGTCCACGAAAAGGTCTCGTACATTGATACTGCAAAACTGAACATATCGCTGGTCTCTTTGTACTTTTCCTTCTGAAGAATTTCAGGCGCCATGTAAGCTGGAGTGCCAATACCACATGTGAAGGTCATGTTAGTCATGAGCATATTGATGTTCCTTGAAGATCCAAAATCAGTCAGTTTAGCGTTAACTTCGATGTTCTCTTCGAGATCTAATATGAGGATGTTGTCTGGCTTAAAGTCTCTATGTAAAATACCGTTTTGATGCAAATAGGATAACCCCCTTGCTGAGTCCAAACATATCTTCACTCGCATTTTGCTCGAGGGCACTGGACTTTCAACTATTAAATTTTCTAAAGAGCCGTACTTGGCATATTCCGAGACGATACAAATCTTTCGTGGGATGAAAACTGCGCCATAGAAGTACACTATATAGTCACACCGAAATTTGTCAAGCATGCAAACTTCACTCACAAAGTCTTTGTAATTGTCTTCGCTGTCGACAAGATTCTTCATCTTCTTGATGGCAACTTTGTTTCCTCTGAAAGTACCTAAATAGACAATACCAAATGAACCTTCACCCAATTTCGTTTCTTCTACTAGTTCGTCTGGGTCTAATTTAGTGGTAAGTTCAGTCTCGAAGGCAATAGGAAATTCGTGTGATGTCGCAACACCCTCTTTTAATTTGAGAACAGTGATATTGAATATATCTTTTAACTTACAAGTGCAATATGGAACAACAATTATTTCAAATTCACACGCCTCTCCTTTATGTAAAATTACAACAAGTGGGTCCACTTTAATTTGGTACTTAAAAACGTTTGTCTTCACAACTATTTGTATCTTCACTGTTTCGTTTCCTTTGTTTCCGAGACATAATAAGTCTCGTGTTTCGGAACAAACAGGGATGTACTCTTTATTTATAGCTTTTACTTGTATTATGTCTTTGTTTGAATACACTATGTCATTCACTTTATATAAAAAGTTGACATTACTTCGTGACATCTTGAACACACAAACTGTCTTCTCTCGGGTTGTTTTACTGTTGAGTTTGAAGAAATAATTAGTGAGAATGACTATAAGTGTAACACACAATACAAAGAGAACAAGCAAGCCAAGTACAATTATAACGATAATCCATGTATTGAATTTATAAACACACATCTTCCCAAGTTCATCTGGAACATGCCAAAAACCACAAGTGGTACATTTGGAATGTTCAACTCGAGAACAAAACTTTATATCACTTGCAGAGTTGCAATCCTTACCATCAAGTACCATAGAATCATCACATGAAGTGCATTCATTGTCTGTTAAACACGTCAAACACTTTGTATTACACTTTTTACACTCTCTCTGAAATGAATAATATCCATTGGCACACTTTGTACATCCTTCAAAAGTCGAGATGTCTCCCCCACACCCAATTATCATTGCTTTTGCTTTACATTCATTGTCTAATGTCATGAAAAATGAATCTTTGCACGTCAAACATCTCCCCTTTGTTTGACAACTTTGACACATCCCATCACAAGTTTCACAATTGAAATAGTCAATATAATACCCATCTTTACACTGAACACAACCCCCTTTAAAGTTAATTCTCTCACACTTCCCTTCAAGGTTCTCGGGCTTTTCACATTTGTAATTTGTTAAAAAGAAGTTCTCAGGACACGAAGAACATTTGTCAAAATCGTAACACGTTTTACAGTTAATGGAACAATACTCACAAGATCCACTCGCTGATCTATACATCCCATCAACGCACCGACGACATCCCAAAGAAGTTTCTACTAAACAATTTTCTTGTTGTGTTTTTGAACATTGATTGTTATGTAGGTAAAATGAATCAACGCATTCTACACATCCTTCAATGCTCGAAATTAAGCAATTTTCTTGTTGTAAAACACATTCGTTATTTTCTTTTGTTTGATTTGTTAAGCAGAAACAGTTATTGTTTTTGATTATGTTGCAGTTTGTTTGTTGTAAGCATTTTCCATTTGATAAGACAGACCCACTCAAACACTTCAGACATTGTTTAAGTGTACACATTTCACAATTTGCAAACATCGATTCACAAGGATAACACGACGAGTTTGAGATGTAATTTGTTTTATCTTGACAGACAATTGCATTTTGAATTGTAGTGTACTGAATGTGTTCGTCTAAAACACAAGAAGTACCATTGAAATAATGATAAGGTTCACATATTTCACAATGATCACTTGAAGAGCACTTTAAACAATTAAGAGGGCAACTCTTGCATTCAAAATTCATTAAATAAAACTTTATATCACAATGTAGACAAAAGTTTCTTTCATAGAGAAGACAGTTTTGTGGAGTCACACATGTTGTCCCACTCATCGTCTGTTTTAGAATTAAACTGTCACTGCATTGTATACACGTCGTTTCGTTGAGACAGACCTCACAGTTTTCTGGACATGCTTTGCACTCATTTTTATTATAAATATATCCACTTTCACATTGCACACATGTACCATTTAAGTACTTCAAACAATGATCTAAAATACACTCCTGTGTATTTGTCGTTTTATATTTACAAGAACATGCATCTTGGTAATACCCACGATTTGAATTACATACCACACACACCTTTTTAGTAGTATTACCAATATACCCAATTGTTGTATCTATTGATCAATAGACTGTTATTTCAAAAGATAATTATTCAGCAAAAAACAAACAGTCACAAGTTCCATTTGTTATCAAAGAAAATATATTTGAACTACTTGTATCAAATGAAATTCCATTGTGTGTTTTCACAAAAAAATTCATTCCATAAGAATTAATTTCTAAAGATCCGTTTGTGCTTGTTGTGTCTAAATAATAGAGGTTTGCACCTTTATATACCTCCGTCATCTGCATGTTCCCATTACTCAAATAAGAAAATTGTGCTGATGGACGCATATAAGCCCATGTGGTAATAGGGTATACCGTGAAGAGTATCTTCATTTTATTTAATTTATTGACTGTTAACGTGTTAATTGGTCCCAAAACACACAATAAACTTCCATACCCATTTTCTATATCAACACTAACAAAGTCTGCTTGGATTGTAGTTGAAGAGTCGATGACAGTTGTCGAAAACAACGCAGTACAATTCTCATCAGAAATTACATTTGAAGGACAATCACAACTCAAAGAAAAGCCGATTCGGTTTGTCACCAAGTAATACTTTGTATATCCAGTGTCACTACATTTAACACTATTCACACTTCCCCCATACAGTGAAGTCGTAGTAATTGTCCCCTTCGCTGAGAAGAGGTACATATCAAAATTGAAATTGTTTACAAGTATCAAATCGAAGTCTCCAATTAACTCGAAGTGATGTGGATGTGTTGGGAAAACTATATACAAATTAAAAAACATTATCAAATTCTTAACACCTTTGTCTGAATTTTTAAGAAGTTTTGGGGGGTTCAAAGGGTTGAAATACATCATTGATAGCGTTGTTGCAGAAACCATTTCAATCTCAAGACTTTCTTCTATGTTTGTGAAGTTCACTTCGATGTTATAAGAAGGGTTTGTGTTGATAATTATCTTTGTGAGTGAACATTTAGTTGTAACATCCCCGAGTGTTACATTATATCTTAAGTTGTTGAATGTCAAGTCTTTTCTTGGTAGTGAAAATATTGTGATCATGGAATTTAATTCATTGATGGTGATAGTGGAAGGTATGTCACAAGACGTGAGTGTCTCATCAAATATACCAGTGGTTGAGTCGTAACAATAGTAAGTAACTGCTCCAAAAACTTGAATATAGAGTAATAAAATTACTTTCATTTGGTGCTTCAAGTTCTACTTCATTATTTAAATCAGTTGACCATCATTCAATTGTTATACTTCCACAAATACGATGTGATGTGAGTTGAAATAATCAATTTTTATCTGTTTAGTTGTCCGTTTTACTATAGATTTTTGCTCAAAAGTTTATTGAGTCTAAAAACAGACTTATAGTTATTAATTGTATTATATATTTACTATAAATTCTTTTACTGTCTATCTATTTATAGAAACTTGATTCAATTACAAATGGTGACAATTTAACTATTGTGTTACCAGTTTATCATGTATGTGAATTATAGTTATTAATTATAATTTACTATATTATTTAAATTATTATTTTTATATTCTAACATCACAGAAGACATCATTTATGCGATTTTTTTTGTTGTTATTGTTTCTTGGTTTCATTAACTCCAAATAATAAGACAAATTGTATAATAATAGTTTATTTTACCTATTTATAATAATTATTATTAGTTTGTTATGTTTTAATAAAAACAAAACAAACTAATTTTAGATATTGACCAAATTGTTTGGCACTAAAAATGGCTTATAATTCCCTTTATTTTTTTTTATTTCTGCGATAAGAATTTTAGTACTTTTCATTATAACAAAGAGGACATTTTTTTATTTATAATAACCAATCTTTTACTAAATAAATGCGATTCTTATTAGTTTATCAAATAGTTTAATTTTATAATATATTTATTAATTAACTTATTATGAGAAGAACTTTTAAATACGACTCTTTAGGATGAGTAATTAGAAATGGCAATACTTGTATCAAAAGAATACCATCACTTATAGTTAGTAGAATAATGATTTGATTTTTCGACACAATTACCCAACAAAACTAAAAGGAACCAAAAGAGAAACTAATGCCCCTTCAGTCCCACAAAAGAAAGCATTGATTTCGATACAACACAACTAATTAGTGAAAAACAAAAAGTAGAATGAACCAAATAGAAAGAGTCCCCTCCCCACATGGATGTTTTGAGATCACCGAGTCCAAAGGCTCATGGTCCCGCAGATACATTTTTGATGAAGACTACAACCAACCACCTTTTCTAACAACACGAAACCACCTGCAAGACATTATCGTCCCCGTCGGATACCCAACTACTGTTGAACGGGGTTACTTCCGCTTTGTCGCGTTCTCTGTCGCAATGGAGTCGTGTAACATGATGTTACTTGTCATGTCTATTTCAGCGTCTTTGAGGATCGATTCAAGTCACTCCGCTGCCTTCTTTGTGATCTTCCGCGAGGTCATGGCAGGAACCATGCACTTGATCATCACCGAGCGTTGGGGGTCTTCCATTGTGTTTTATGCGAAGCAGTGGCGCATGCGAATTGAGATCATTTCGGAGCTTTTGCGCCTCATTCAAATCGCGTTCATCGCGTCGCCGATATTTTATTCAATCAACGTGACGTGTTCGACGATCGAAAGTGTTCTCAATGCATCGCGACAAGTGATCAAAACAAAGATCTTAAGCAATTACGCGAAGGAGAATAATGTCGCCGAACTCACTGAAAAGGCTCAAAACATTGAGACACTCGCACGTGTTATTTCTTTGTTAATAGGTTTTATAGTATTACACTTATTAGGGGATTTCACAGAACATGGTATTATAGTGTTTATGTTAGCATTAATAGCTCACGTTGTGTGCAATTTCTTAATGGGGCGAGTGATAGTGTTTAAAGCAATCAATTATGAACGATTAATGATTCTTATGAAGTACTTCACGACAGTCAAAAGTTTGTTGGAATCTTCTTGTCTTATACTTTTTAATAATATTATAATTAGTAAATACTATTCTATATTTTTAATAAAAGATATGATAAAATAATTATAATTCTTTAATTCAATAACATGGTAGACGAAATACTGTCACCTCTTGTCGTCTCTGCAATTGAGAGTAAAATCCGCGTGAACGAAATGAAGAACATTCGAATGGGGGTGAGTCTCAATTCCATTCCAAAGTCGACGGACCTCTTTTTTGCGATAAGTCAGTCCATTAAGACGTGTCAATACTTCCTTTACAAAAACACTAACAACACCATTTCTGTGCTTCTTGGTGACAAGATTACTAAAGAAGGGATCTTCGAGGCATTATTATGTGCGCATTCTCAGTTGGTAATGGGGTGGGATGACAATCGACAACAACAAGTCCGGGAATGGAATGTAGCGGAGTGTCTCAAAGAGAAAGGGTGGGACATCGAGAACCTTGATGTTCGTGTTGGAGCCTATAGAATCCAGTCGGACTCCCTCAAATTTTAATTGGTGTGTTACTTTGTTCCTCGTATTTTCCTTCTCCAAACCACAACTGAACCACAAACAGTGATTTAAATAGTAACAGACATACCAAAAACATTCTCAACACTGAGAAAACACTTTTTAT